ATTCTGCATGGAGCACTGGGTGTTGTGCACGAACAATGAATCATGGAACACTTCATCTAAAACTAATGATGTAATGTATGGGGATTAACAAAAGAATAAAATAAAAAAAAAAGACAAAAAAAAAAAAGATTAGCAGTTTTTCCTCCCTTGGTGGGTGAGTGGAGCCTAGGAATTAGGCAGACAGAGGCATAATTTCCACATATCTGTGGGAGAATAGTAAGAAATGAATTATACAAATTAACATGTTGATGCACCCACTTAATAAATGTATTCTGTAATAGTTGCTTGAGAGAAGATTCGATTCCATTTTCTATTTTTCCCTTTAAACAGTGATAAGACATCAGTTGAGGGGAAGAATACATATATAGGGTTTCATATTTTAAGCTTCCCTCTAAATTGTGCAAATCCTAGCAATGGACTCTCTCCTTTATCTCTGATAAATAGTGCTGGATGATTTTTCCAGGCCAGCAGCCCTAGATTACGGCAAGAGTAAGGGAGATGCCGTATCCATTGAATAAGCTACATATATATAAGCTTTTCAGATTAGAATTTTGGAAGCTCCATTGAATAAAAGAATTGGGCAAACTTAGAATATCATCATAAGAAGAAAATAATTTGCTGTTATGTTTTCCAGTGAATCAGAGCAATGAACCTGAGAACATCCTTTGCACATGGAGTGCTCTGTTGTTCATGATGTGACAGCCAGAGCTGCTGCATGATTCGTGGAGCATCATGATGATGATGGGCGTTTTGAGGGGTTAGGGGGAAAACTGATGCTCAGTAATGTAATACTGGCCACGGAAGAATACCTTGGTCACAGAACCTGCTCTCTTTGGTTCCAGCAGCCCCAGTCATGCACACTGTGCCAGCCTTAAACACAAGTCAGAATTCCTTATACAGGGTCTTTGCTTAATGTGCATTTGAAATCAGAGACTTGCTTCTGCTTGATTTAGATACATGTTCCTTTGGTTTCCTTATCTAATTTTGATGGATGAGTTAAAAGAAGCGCTTTGGTTAGCTCAGGAAGAGCTTCCTTCCTGCGTGGGGCTCTTGCTCTTCTCCCCTAGGAGGAAGCTCATTAGTACACTGTTTCACAAAGAATATGGTTTGGGGAGCAGGAATGACGAATTAATTTCACTTGACCCTTGATCAGCTGTTTACCTGGGATCATGCATGCTCCCTTTCTGGACCACGGTGGTCCCAGCTTATCTGCCTGAGATAAGGAATTGATAATCTGTATCCTTCTGAGACCCGTGCCCACAATCATATCTCACAACTTCCTGTAGGAACACTGTGAGCTATAGACCTGGTGTTTTGCCAGCGCTGTTCTCCATGTCTGGAATGCCTCTCTTGATCTCAGCTTCCTGGTCAACTTCTGTTCATCCTCCAAGGCTCACACACCTCTGCAAAGCCCTTCTGGATCCCTCCTCTCTGCCACCTTTGCTCCTGACTTGTTCTCCCTTGCATACTCTGTGCTATATACCTATAGTAGTGCTTAACTTCCCTCCAAACCTACCTACAGTCTCCACAAGTGTCCTTCAAACTCCAGTATTTGGAGTTCCTCTGAACATTTGACAGCAGTCTTGTGTTTCCCTGGGGAAAGGAGTAGTTAGTTAGCAGTGGAGAAGGATGTAACTCTCCTGTTACGGCTTTCAGGGACTGGGGAGGCAGTTACTCCCTACCTGCCATTTATCATCCAACGCTTTAAATTATTCATATTGATTTCTAATCCTTACAGATTGCATGCAATCACATGAGCACAGACAGCCTCACTACTGACTCCAGCCCTGCAAAGAAGCCTTGGTCAGTCTGTCTCGATGACAGGTTTGGCTTAGCTCATCAGATCCGCAGCAAGCAATGCCGCCTCTACTCTCTAGGGTAAGTGCATTTTGTAGCAGAACACAAAACACTCCTGCAAGTGGCCAAGGCTTTTTCAGCAACACAAAGTTATGAACGGTCGCGGTGTACAACAGGTGCTATACTTTGCCTCCTGCCATCGTTTCAGGCCCCTCTGGCTGACATGTAACCAGGCACTGCACTTGCAGGTCACTGGAAGTGGCCGGGCCATTTTCTCTCCCATTGGGCTAGTGGCAAGTTGGCAACTTCAATTTTCAGCATGATGATGAGCCTCTTGGTGAAGCCAATGACTTCCAGCTGGAATTATAGCATCCTTGTTACAAAGAGAGAGAGATTAAGAATTAAGAGAAAGAAGAACAGCAAGCATATTAGAAATGCTATACACACTTACGATGAGTGACCCAAGATAAATGGCCACTGTTGGATTTTTATGTTTTGGGCCAATGGTAAATCTGTGTGTACTTTACATTAAAAAGAAAGAAAAGGGAATTCTTGTGCAAACAGTGTGATTTTGTCAAAACTGTGGGAAATATTAATATTCAGTTATTCAGGCTGAAAATGACCTAAATATACAAATGGATTTAGAGAGCCTTCTATAAAAGGGCAAATATAAAGTAATGAGACTATTTCACCAATTACAGTAGTACTCACATCCAGACCTGAACTTACAAATATGTGTCTCAAAAAAAGGCAGAGAAGAGTTATTTTTATTGGGAATACCCTATTCCACAGACTCTTTGTGGAAGCTGTGTGATGAGGTTCTTAGGCAAGACCCTTGAAGTCCATTACAAAAGTACTGGGGACCATAACAGGTGTCTTGTGCTTGTTTCTCACTGATAGGTTTCAGCACTTCTGTGATTTATATTCACATACATGAGTAACAACTCATGAATCCTAGATGATAAAGGGGGGGGTGGGCAGATATTTGGGTACGTGCCCAGAGGATCACCATCGTTGTCAAACTTTACCAAACAAGAATTCTTAGTTACAGTCATTGTGAACTTTTTGTAAAAACGAAAGAGTTCAAATAAGAGTTTCAGGATAATGGAACCGTTCTTCTGTAGGTTCACTGAAGAGTCAGTATCAACAGGGGAGCTTGGTACACACAGTAGGCACTCAATATATGCTTGCTACATAAATGATTGCTTCAGGTAAGGAGACTAGGGAGAGATGCTGGTTATGCTGTGATTTAAACCAGGAGGCTGAGGCTTAGGAAATTAGTTGCTCAGCCACTTGATTAGAACAGAGGGGAGCCCACCAGCTATGCTTCAAGCTTATAGAAAGAATGGGAAGTTTTGACAGTAGCCTTTATTTTCTATCATATTAAAAATGTATGAAAGTAGGTCATAAAAGTAATTGCATAGTACCACATGCAAATTGGAGATCTCAGCTTGGTCCTGTTTTCTTGCTCTGAACTGCCTTTATATTTTACTTATTATTTTACACCCTGGAATAATTTCATTTAAAGCATATCCCTGAGTAAAATGAAACTGGGAAAGCTATTGCGGGGGGGGGAGGGGGGAATCTTTAAATTCCTTTTTGCTTTCCTTAAACTTCAGAGCCATTAGATAAGATAGTTCTGCTCTAAGATTTCAGATTACTTCATGTAAAAAGGTAGTTTCTTACTTTCATTGAAATGTTCACTATTCAAACACAACTTTATAAAGAGCTTAGATAAGAACAGTTGAATTCCGCTGGGAACAGACGTGACTAGATTATAAGGGCCAACATTTGATTCAAAACCAAAAAAATGCTTAATTGAAAACTGGAAACTAAAAAAAATATTTCAGATGGGTAAAAAAAGGATGCTTTGGATTGTAGATGTACAAGGAGGTTGCCTTGTGACTCAGAACTGAGAGTCAGGAGAAGCCTACCCTCTTCTCAGGTGAATTCCTTGCCCGGAGGCAGGACAATAGTGAGCTGACAACATTCCAGTTGATGCTGAGGGAAGAAAGAGACCCAGGCCAGAAGCGGTGGTCCTGAAATGAGGCACAAGAACGGGGGATGTGGGCCCCAGATTCTCAGTGTTTGGGAGTATTGGGGTAGTTGCGAGATGGCAGGGAGGGCAGGTGGCAGGTGGGTCATGGGGCCCCTACACCAGGCCAGTATGTGCTCTCAGCCCCAGGACTCTTGTTAGTAGCAAGACCAGGTCACTGCTGTGCCCAGTCATTCCCAGGCAGACTGAGGATGACGGATAAAGCCGCGGCTCGGGGTAATCTTCCTAGAGAGGAGGAGAGATCTGAGGACAGAGGAACAGAAGACAAAGGCTGCATGTCTTTCCTCCATCCCAAGAACTAAAGCAGGAATCACCTCCACCTTATCTCAGAGTTTGGAATGTCTTTCCTAGGAGTCAAAGCTTTTTATTCTGCAGTTAATGTAAAAGCATTTTTTCCGGGAGAGTGCACTCTGTGTGAAGTTCAGTTGAAAATTAAAATCAGATCCTTTTCAACTTTGAAATGGGGGTAGAATAGACCAATTAAGATAGGGGAAGGTGCTGTACAGGAAGGTTATATTACAGGGAGGGGGAAGAGAAGAGAAAGGAGGGGCTGTGGGTTTAGATGATCATGTTATCTGCCTGACCTCTTCAGCTGGGGCCCGCCCTGTAAGTCTTCTTCTGTGTGAGGTGGAGGGGGAGGAGGTGAAGGGTGAGGACTGCGGGGGAGGAGGGTGGTAGCTGAAGTGAGTGGGGAAAAATCACCTATTTTATCCTGCCTTTCAAAGTTTGTTATTTCATGGGTAGGCGCGAGAGTGGAAGAGGGAACTTGGGATTATGCATAGGTAAATCTTTTTCATCTCTTTTTTAGTTCTCCGGTAGCTGGCACCATTTGGTTTCAAGGCATAAATTCTCAGCATGAGACAGAAGAACGTTTGATAGATGACACATGGTTAGGCAACAACCAGTATCTTAAGCAGAAAAGCTGGGACTTCTGGGTGCCATGAGCATTTCAAGAGGAATGAACAAGCTCCAGAGCCAAACATTTTCAACTTGTAATAGTTTAATTCACATAGCCGGAGCTCGTAGTATATATGAATGAGGAATCAGAAAATCATGGACCCAAAGATCCTTTTTAGATAATTTTTTTCCTAATCACCACCCCACCCTGTGAAATTTTAAAGCCATAGATAAACTGTCTGTTTATGTAATGTATGTATCTGTGCTTTCTATGTAAAAAGAGGAAGTTTTCTTGGCTACCAAGAATGGATTTTTGCCCCCTTAGGGGTGATATCTTCCCTGTTGAGAATATATGTTCTAGATGAAATCTTGGCATTTCACACAATGTTATTTAACAAAAACTAACAATTATAACATATTTTTACCCACTATTCAGTGTCATTTGTGCTTTGAAAAACCTATTTCTCCCCCTCTAGTTGTTGCCAGTTTACAGATCTAATCATAATCACCTCAATAATCAGATAATAGATAACCTAATTATCTATTAGATCTCATAATAGATGAGATTTGGCCATTTGGCCAGATTCTCTGGGTCCTGCAGCATTGAAGAATGGGTTACTGAAATTCCTGGGGACACAGTTGTCTTACTTCTTCCCACCCTTATGCCTTCGGTGGTCACAGTTAGAAACCTTCCCTATATCTGCTTTTATTTTTTTTAAACAGTTTTGTTTAGTTATAATTCACATACCATACAATTCACTCATTTAAGACATACAGTTCAACGGTTTCTGGTTGCTACAGTCAAATTTAGAACATTTTCATCACCCCAAAGAGGAAGCCATATACCCAGTAACGGTCATTCCCATTTTCTCTCCAATACCTTTCCTGCTTTTCACCCCTCATCCTAGGCAACCACTAATCTACTCTCTGTCCATAGATTTGCCTATTCTGGACATTTCATATAAATGGAAGCATGCAACACGTGGCCTTTTGTGACTGGCTTTTTTCACTTAGCATAAAGGTTCATCCATGATGTAACATGTATCATTACTTCATTCCTTTTTATGGCTGAATAATATTCCATTATATGGATATACCACATTTTATTTATTCACTCATCAGTTGATGGACATTTGGGTTGCTTCCACTTTTGGGCTATTGTGAATAATGTTGCAGTGAACATTCATTGTGTGAACATATGTTTTCACTTCTCTTGGGGATATTTTTCCTTTTTCCTTTGGTAACAGAGCTTGTGAGTTTTGCAGGGCACCTGGCACCTTGCTGAAGACTGCATACCCTAGCCTTCCTTGAAGCTGCAAGTGGCCATATGATTAGATTTGAGCAATGAGATATGAGTGAATATGATGTGTTCAACTTCTAAGCCATGCCCTAGGAAGAAAGGATGTGACCTTCATTCTCCTTGTACTTTTCCTGCTGGCTGGAATGCAGATGTGGTGGCAGGGAATGGAACAATTGTCTTAGATCATGAGATAGAAGCCTTATGATCTACATTTCTTGCTTCATGGAATAAACATTAAGTAGAACGTCCCTATAAAGAGAATTTTTTTTTTTTTAAGATTTTATTTATTTATTTGACAGAGAGAGAGAGAGCACAAGTAGGCAGAGCAGCAGGCAGAGGGAGAGGGAGAAGCAGGTTCTCTGCTGCACAGAGAGCCCAATGCGGGGCTCGATCCCAGGACCCTGGGACCATAACTTGAGCCGAAGGCAGACGCTTAACCGACTGAGCCACCCAGGCGCCCCTAAAGGAGAATTTTCTATGGTGAATTCTCTTTCCAGTTAAATAAGAGCAGAAAATGATTTTCTTACAGACTAAATACATTTTTTTTTTGCTGTAAGTAATAGTTTTGTTTTGGTTATTTCATTATTTTACTATAGTTATTTGTTCAGAAATCTCTCTTCATTACGACTGGTGAGCTTCAGATCAAGGGTTATATTTAATTTATCTATTTGTCTCTGGTGTCTAGTATAGTGCCTTAAACATATTAAAGTGCTTTTTTAAAAAATATTTATTTATTTATTTGAGAGAGAGAGAGTGAGCAAGAGAGAGAGCATGAGCTGGAGGACGGACAGAGGGAGAGGCAGAGGGAGAAGCAAACTCCCCACTGAGCAGGGGGCCTGACATGGGGCTTGATCCCAGGACCCTGAGATCATGACCTGAGCCGAAGGCAGATGCTTAACTGACTGAGCCACCCAGGTGCCCCTTAAAGTGCTTTATAAATATTTGTTTATATACACAAATAAGACAGTGAAACATAGCCTGCCCCATTGCCATGTTGGATACTGTACTATGTATTCTGGGAATTCCAGATCCTACCTAATTTTCTAGTTTTCTTTCACTGGAGCAGCATTTTGTAGATTTCTCTGTCAGCACTCATCTCATTGCTCAGCACTTGGGATTCAGAAATAAGCAGAATATTACACTGTGTGTTAACTAATTTGAATTTAAATAAAAATTTGAAGAAGTACCACTTGAAGAAATGAAAGAATTATAGACATTGATTCAATGAATGCTGTTTATTACTTTCCAATTTAGTACACTTATGTATTAAGTGTTTCTTATTTAGTAACATGAATTACCCCAAAATGACAAATTTCAATATTTTGATGTTATTTAGTTTATCATACAAAATAGTTCCTCGCTGTTTGATGATGAACTTAAATATATATGTGTGTGCTTATGATATCTCTAATAGAGAACACTTGTACATGTGTAGAGAATTTCTGGAAGGATACACAAAAAATTGCTAACTGTGATTATCTCTGGAAATTAGTGGCCAAAATTTCTAGAGCTAGAAAACTTTTACTTTTCATTTTATCTATTTCTTTGAACTCTTTCTGTGAGTATTGCTATTTTTTATTATAAAAAATTAGTTTAAATTGAAAACATATCAATATATAATAAAGTGCCTTACTAAAAAATTTAGTTACAAAAGTCTATGTGTTTAATTTAATCCTTAAATTTTTTTGAAGTCTTGATAGAGTAGAAAATGTTTCCTTGAAAACAATATTGAGAAAATTCACAGAAAGAAATTATTCAAATTTCTCTACTCTAGAAAGTTTATATACAAATTATATTTAATGAGTACTTTTTTTGACATAATATTCTCTTAGTAAAGCTACAAAACTGCCACTTTTCATGAGATGACCCATAATAACACTGGTTTGCTCATCTAACTTTCAACATATTCAATTAAGTGAAAAATCGCTTGGGGCAGGTGAATTTGGCAACATTCTGGTATATACAGAAAGAAATCTGTCTACTAAAAAATGTTTCGTCATTTTTATTCAATTCTTGGATTTATAGTTCATGGCAGGTTTATAAGTTAGCTGTTGCTGTGTAACAAATCACTCTAAAATTCAGTAGCTTAAAACCATTATTTATTCTTGCTTATATGTCTGCACATCAGCTGTGCTTCAGTTGATTGAGTCTGGGCTCAGTGGGGAGGCTTCAAAGTGAGGTGGCTAAGGGCAATTCTGTTTTTCATAGAAGGCTGGAGGTTCGACTGGGGTACCTCTGCCTCTCATATCTCTTATTTTCCTGAGACAGCAAGCTACCCAGGGTAAGTTTTCATCATGAGGATGATACGAGAGAGTGGACAGAAGTACTTAAAGCCTAGTCTCAGAACTGGCATACTGTCACTTCCTTCGAAAAAGCAAATTACATAGTCAAGCCAAAAAATCAAGAGGCAGGAAAGGACACTCTGCCCATGATGAGCATAGCATGGCAGTAGTATGAAGGAGTGAAGAATTAGAGCCAGCAAGTCAATCTGCCACACCAGATTAGATCATGGAAAAATTGGGGGGAAACTAGGATAGAGATTACAATGGTCTGAGCTGTGTGGGTTCAATAAGAGGTTAAAAATAGGAAACAGGAGAAACCTGAGTGGCTCGGTTGGTTAAGCATCTGCCTTCGGCTCAGGTCACGATCCCAGGGTCCTGGGATCGAGTCCCTCATCGGGCTCCTTGCTCAGCTGGGAGCCTGCTTCTCCCTCTGCCTGCCGCTCCCCCTGCTTGTGCTCTCTCTCTCTCTGACAAATAAATAAAATCTTTAAAAATATATAAAAATAGGAAACAGGATCTGTCGGGTAAAAGGAATGGTAGCATTTGTGAAAGGAGTGCTAAATCTTCTAGCCAAAAGGGTAGAGAGAATTACAGCTGAGGGACAGCAGAGGGTTAACATGCCATGGGTCCAGCGAGGGAAAAAGCAGTGGAGTAGAAGTAAAGGTAAAGAACAAGGCAAGTAAGAGTATAGTAAGAATGTCTAGGTGGAGGATTTCTGTACTGAAGACTTATTTTAGTCACCTAAAAGCAGGTCAATAATTGTTAGCCAATGAGCTTGTATGTTTCCAAATTATGAAATATCTGAGACAGTGAAGTCTAAGAGAATGAAGCATTTCTGCCCTGGGTTCAGGTTTGGTCAATGTATTATAGATACTCTGAGATTTTGGTATCTTAAATCACATCTAATTATAGTATTTCGGGCAAAGAAGCCATAATCACCATTTAAAAAAATAATCCTCTTTCATTTAACTTCATGTTTTTCATCCAAACTGGTGCTTTAATCAAAGTGATGAATATAACTCCACCTAATATGTCTGAGTAATATGATGGAGTAAATTAAAAATGTGTTAAGTATATGAATGTTCCACATGATGTGTTACATACTGGGTACTTAAGAAAAACTAATTCATAATTTTTTCCTCCTGTTGATGTGAATTTAGATGAGGTATCTCTTCTATTTCTTGAGTAGAACCACACACAGTTGCCTTTTCTTTAGCTGTACTATTTTAAATTATATTCCATTTCTAAGGAAACAGCTATTGTCTTTAAGTCAGACCTCATGCATTGTGACCATTAGAATGGAGGCAAATTACCTCATTAGTAGACCGCCCCTCTCCCTAAGGGAACTGATCCCGACGCTTATATTTTTGATGTATTCTGAGAAAACCTCTTAAGATCACTGGACAGTCTTGTTTCGTTGCTGCTATGGTTTAAGTCTTTGTCAAAAATTAATTTGGTATGCCTGTACATGTTTGAACATGTGATTCTCTGGTCTGCATTTAGCAGATGATTTCTCTGCTTGCTTTTTACCCAGAAGCTTTTAACTCTAATGCTTTTTGTGAAGGAAGAAGGTTTATTGAATGTGTGCAGTTAGCTGTGTGTTAGAACAGGAGAAAACTTGATAAGAATAAGAAAATTGGCCTTAGAATCATTTTGTCAATCCAACACTTTTGCTTCAGTATAGTTTTCTTGTTATTGATTTCCATCCTTTTTCTTTATAGGCTAGGGAGTGATGATACCCAATTTGAGGTTAGCATGGCCAACAATGGATGTGAGGTACATCGTTTTGATCCTAGTGTGAAGTCGGCTCATATTCTGGAGAGTCAGCGCCTCTGGTATCACCGCTTGTCTATCGACTGGCGGGACCCGCATCCAGCTGTGGCTGCCCAAAAACCGCATAGCAACACCAGAAAACTGGGCACCATTTTGAATGAATTTGGGCATCACAAGGTGAGAGTTTTCATTTGATTTCATAATGAAATAAAGCGAACAAACTCATCAACTTAAAAAAAAATGCAAACCGAGAATTGGATAGTTGAGGATCCAGTTTCAACCTTACTGATGATAACCCATCATTATTTATAGAGTCAGCTCTGTAGACATAAAGTTTTGGCAGGAATCAAGATCTTTAAGTTGATTTGTAGATTGCAGTTGCTGTTGAGTAGTGCTAGGGTTTTGGCCAAGACTGGGCAAGGAAGTAAGAAACCTACTTCTGGCATGGCCTCAAGAGTCCCATTTTCGTTTGGCAATTGATTTTAAATGTTCAGACAGAGTGAACTACTTATGTCAGTCTCAAATACAAAGTAATCGGGGCCAGGTTTTTGTTTGATAAGAGATTGCCCATGAATTGTGTTTCTCACTGTTGTAGCAACTACTTTGAGTCTCCAGGCTCTTGAAGGCCAGAACATATGTATATCTTTGATTAAAACGAACTTTGTAAAATTGAATGGACATGTGTGTGTTGCAACTGATATAATTATGTCAAAAGATGACAAATCTCTACAAGTATCTTATTGTGAATAGATAGCAAAAAGAAACCCAATCTCTAATCCGTGTTCCTTGAAAGCAATTTTTAGTGTAGACCCAAGCCAATTGCATTCTGTAGGCAAATACTAGATAATTCTCCTGAGTGTACTTGGCTTGTGTTTGTTTGCCAACCCCTCCTGGGCTTGGCCTGTTTTGCCTTCCTGTTCTCAGTCAGAGATGGCATGTGATTTAGAACATGCCAAAATGGGTGTTTCTGAAAAACAGTGTATATGGAATTCAATTTTAAACTTGAGTTGGCTGCCTGATCTTTAATAAAAGGGCTTTTCCTCTGCTTTGTTCTTTTTCTTCTCCTCTTCCTCCTGTTCCTCTTCCTCTTCCTCCTCCTTCTCCTTTTTTTTTTTTTTTTAAACTCCTTTTAATTGGACTGCAGAAGCTTCTTCAAGAACCACTTCAAAGAATTTGCTGCTCTGGGGCGCCTGGGTGGCTCAGTCGTTAGGCATATGTCTTTGGCTCCGGTCATGGTCCTAGGGTTCTGGGATCGAGCCCCGCATCGGGCTCCCTGCTCTGTGGGGTGCCTGCTTCTCCCTCTCCCACTCCCCCTGCTTGTGTTCCCTCTCTCTCTCTGTCAAATAAATAAATAAAATCTTTAAAAAAAAAAAAAGAATTTGCTGCTCTTCTAACATGTGATTAATTATTGATTTGTATTTTGCTCTGCCATTGACAGTAAGTAGCATTACTGGGAGACTTAATGAAACACATATAGGATTTGGAGAGTAAAATCTCCAAACAGAAACTGAGGTGGGAACATTTTTCAGAAATTTATTTTATTTTTGCCATTTGTTACCTTCAGAGACCTGTTTAAAAAAAACAGCTGAAAATTACAGGCTTGATTCTCTAATATGTCAACTCTTGATTATTCAAAGAGCTAGCTACAGATTCTTTGTGTTCATTTGGGACTCTTGTTGCCCCACGTTCATGCTCTTCACACCCTGGCTCTATCTACCCTCACTCTTCAAAGAATAGACCTTGTAGAGACAGCTTTTTTTGATAATATCTCAGCAAAAGATTTGGTAAATGTGAGGATAAAATAGGGCTTTGAAAAATGACCTGTGGATATAATTTATCCAAGCCACATTTCCTATGGAAAATGCATTTTCAGATAACCAGGTATGCACCTGAATTGTGTTTGTTCAACTCCATAGGAGTTGCAGTGGGCAAACCTTTATGCTGAGGATGAACCATGAGATCTTTCATGCTGCCCCTGAGACAGCAGAAATATTTACAGTAGTACCTAAAAAGGATAAATGTTCTAAAGGATCTTTTTATATTCCTAAGGCTACTTATTTTTATTAAAAACATTAGTAATGACATCTAAAAATGGTTGAGATGGTAAATTTTATGTCATGTGTATTTTACCACAATAAAAAAAAATAAACATGAAAGTGATCTGGGTCAGAATTGCCAGGTATATATTTGCTGCTTTAAAAAATCCTTATTGAAGAATTTAAAAGAGACTGATAATCTTTCATAGATTCTTTTTTTTTTTTTTTGCGAATGCTTTAAAACAAAACAAGGAAAATGAAACCCATCAGTGAGTGATTGCTTCCATTAGGAACATGCCTCTAGAAGCTATGTGGTGCCAGATAAAAGGAAACTTCCATTCTGGCCTGCAGCAAGCAAGGTCTGTTTTCATTTTTCTGCATGTGTACAGACACTGGTAAATAGGATGTGGCTCTGGCAGGGCAAGCAAGTAGAACACGAACACACACGCACACACACACACGTCTGTGCTTGCGTCTTGCCTTCTTCACTCATTTCTTCTGCTAGTGACTTTAGAAACCAGGGGGATTTTTGTTGTTTTATTTTCACCTCATGACGTTAAACTGTTTCATATAGTTGGGTGCTGTTTTCCATGTGAAGCTGTGATTTTTCTTCTTCTTCTCTTTATCCATCCCTAGATTCCAGCCACTCAGGCCAAAAGGAAAGGCAAACTCTGAGATGGTGACAGAAAGATGCATAGGGCTTCTATTCTGCTTTTAGAACTCTTTGGTAATTTTAATTTCCAACTGTAAATCAAAAACATTTCTAAAGCATCTGGTGAGAGCAACTGCATCAGCAAAAGCAGGAGAATCAGAAGCCAGTCTGTCAGGGAGTAAGATCACCTGGATCCAGCATTAGTAATGATGAACTGTCTTCTTGCTCATGTGCTCGTTGCTGTAAACGATGCATAAGAATTTTTCCAGGATGGGACTAGAAATAGTGAGTCTGAAATTTCTGCTCATATTAATCATAATGTATGTTTTTTTTTTTCTTTCTCTAAAGTCTTTATTACACAGAGTATCCTAAATGATCCAGGCTCAAAAACTTAATGAGAAGTTTTTACTTTCGGTCTTTACCATGCTGTTGATAGTAGGAGTAACAGGACTGCCTTAGACTTTACCTCTGGAAGCTCAGTGATTTAGGTTTGAAGCACCCATTCCCTCCTTAATTTTTGGCACTAGGAGGGAGAGTCATTTAACTGCTCTGGTGCTCTGTTTGATTGCTGGTGTAATGGGGACCATGATACTCCCTAAATGGATTGCTTTTGAGAATTAGATCAGAGAACACAGTGTGATTTAAAAATGATTTTAGGGGTGCCTGGGTGGCTCAGTCGTTAAACATCTGCCTTCGGCTCGGGTCATGATCCCAGGATTCTGGGATCGAGCCCCCCATCGGGCTCCCTGCTCAGTGGGAAGCCTGCTTCTCCCCCTCCTACTCCTCCTGCTTGTGTTCCCTCTCTCTCTGTGTCTCTCTGTCAAATAAATAAATAAAATCTTTAAAAAAAAATAATGATTTTAAATTCAAAGACTTTTAATTAACCATTTCAGGAAGTCTTTACAAAATTTTATAGAAAACATTTTCTGTTTTCTCTCTTTCTTCGTTTTCAGGGAAAATATATCAGATTTCCCTGGAAATTGATAACCGCACCTAATTCCACTCAAGAGTTTTTAATGAAAGCTTTGTGCGAAACTAAGGGCAACTGGTTCTTCAGACAGGGTCGTAGAGAATTGTTATTGTTTGCTGCCCTGGGGCACTGAACAGCTTTGCTGGCGATTGTGTAGAAAGTAAACACTGTGTTGTAGAGAAATTAAATAAGCGGCTGAGAATTAATACAGAGCAGAAGTGGGGGGCGGGGCCTCGGGCTGCGGGTCGGCGGACCGGGTGGAGCAGGACTCGCGCAGCTCAGCGCCAGGGGTGAGTCCTCCCCGGCTGGGGACGCTGCCCGGGGCGGGGTGTCCGCCTGGACCCTCACTGGAGGGGCGGGGCCCGAGTCCCTGGGCCCGGAACCCGCCCGGGATCACCAGACCTCAGGTCTGCTGTGTGGTCCCCGGTGTGCTGGAGAGAAGGAGCGCTTTGAAATTGAACTACAAGAAGATTCCCTTTTCTTTTGCTTATCAAATGGGCAAATATAAACAAGATGTTGATACCGCCCTAGAGTGAACACTCATGCTTTGCTGGTGGAAATGGAAAATGATAGACTCAGGAAGAAAATTTCACCGCATGTATATATTATGTCACTCTTCATTCCTGGAAATTTTCTTTGCCTTAAATTCTGTTTTGTTTGCTATTAGTTCTGCTCTACCAGTTTTTGTTTTGCTTTGTTTTGAGGTTTTTTTTGATAAATATTTATGTGAAATGTCATTCTAGATTCCTTTATTTTCATTATTATTATTATTATTATTTTAAAATATAGTTTAATTTATGTCCTTTGTGTTCTTCTCTTACAGTTTTCTCTTTTCGGTTTGTGTTTGGCATAGGGGGGTACATCTTCCTTTTATACTTTTCTTTAAGTCAACTTTAAACTGATTCACCTTTCTTAGAATTATCTGGAGAAATAATACCAATGGACTCATGAGTAAACTGGCTTAATTATGTTTTCTAATACATATTAAAAATACCTAACAAACAAAAGATTTTGAAATGCTTATTTGTATGACCTAAACCATCTTTCATGCCAGTGTGGCTCATATTTAATGTATATATGAATCACCTGGGGAATCTAATTAAAATGCAGATGTTGATTCTGAAGTTCTGGGGTAGGACCTGAGATTCTGCACTCCTAGCAAGCTCTCAAGCTCTGCTGAGGCTGCTAGTTGGGGAGCCATACCTTGAGTAGCAAGGTCTGTACCATAGTCTGAGAAACACAGGAACGGAGGATATGTACTAGTAATTTGTGTCCCCCCCCCCCCCAGAGGCCCAGCGCCGGACCACTTTATGTTCTTTTCTTTTCTTTCAGTAGGAGAGGGAAAGCACAGAGAGAGGGCAGAGGAAGAGGGAGAGAGAGAAAAACCCAAGCCGACTCCATGCTGAGCGTGGAGCCAGGAGTAGGGCTCCATCCCAGGACACTGTGATCAGACCCCAGCCAAAACCAAGAGTCTGCTGCTCAACTGACTGGGCCACCCAGGTGCTCCTGGACCACCTTG